TTGTTTGGCAGACTGGGCTAGATTCGAAGCTGCCAGCTCTAGTGTATGTGGCTGGTGCCCTAGCCGCTTGAGCTGCAGGAGCCAAACCGTATATTTTATTCTTATAGCACCACTTCAATTCAGACTAGCCACATTTTGAGTGCTCATGAGTCATAGGGGGCTAGTGGCTACTATATCATACAGCATGTGGTTAGATTATAATACATTTTGTCATATAGTTGAAGAATTTCATTTCACATACATACTCTTATTCCATAGGAATGACTTCCACAAAACATTATCATATACTATACCCTAAAGTTTATTCTAAAATGCATTGACATAATTTACATTATTATTAATCTGTGTTAATAAAAATGCATTCAAGATAACGCATTTATTTGCTCATCTCCCTCCATTTCAAGTGCTTTAGTAGAGGAAAAAATATAATGGCCAGATCTTGACCACACATAAAGCCATGTGTTAACAGCTTTAGTTAATGGAACTTAATGAACATAATTTTGTCTCAGGTTAATTGAAGACTGAAAACAAAGTACTGTGTAGCATTAAAATGCTTTGGAAACCAGTGAAGCATGTCAAAATTAAGTGCCTAATTTATCTGAGAAAATATTCATGTGGTGGTTTAAATATTCCATTTATCCAGGAACACTGTCCGTTTATGCCTGGTGTCTCACCATGACTATTAACGATTCCTCCTTTCATCCACAGCACTAAGCCAATTTGAACAATCTTAGATAAAGTATATGGTACTCCTAGCTATAGCGCAGAGTGTGAAAATCCCAGCATTAATCAATGATTAAATACTAATGTGCATATAGTTTATACTCAAATATTATTTCTCAAAGAAAACAAAACTCTCCTGTTTTGAGTTTTTCTATGTAAAATCTTGTACTAAGGATAAAGAAAGAATAAAGGACATATATTTTTTTTCACTCTTCAAGACTGTATTCATTAGACTTAATTTATGTAAGTGAATCATAGTGATCCATGGGCATAATAAAGTCATTTTATTTTCTGTGTTTTACTCTTTAAGATTATTTTGTTTCCATGGACCAACCATTTCTCAACATAATACTCTCAACTCGTATGTTATAGTCAAAGATTTTGAGAAAGAAAGAGTCATACGAGAAAGAAAAAGTGATAAGTATGTATGTGTATATATGTATTATTCTTTATGCCAATAAAGTAATAGAAGTACTTATTTTTAAATAAAAGAAGAAAAGTATTTTAAGCAATTGATTTTAAGTCACAAAAGTTCACCTAGAATGATCTGGAAACAACATATATTCCTGATATGCTGCCAGGCTGGGCTCTCAGGGGACTGAGTGGGTCGAGCCTGTGTAGTTTGTCATTCACACCTGAAGCAAGTTGAAAAGGGGGGCGACACAGACGGGCACTGGCATAAAGTTAGCCCTCTTGTGTGGTTAATTTGAGATGAGACCTCGGGTTTTCTAATTTCAAGCTAAAGATTTTCCCACTTCTTTCAGTACATCACACATTGTGCTAATAATGAAAAGAGCAAACCTCTGGAATTTGGGGGAATGAAATAAGGGAGGAACACAGAAGCAGATCTAAACGAGGATTCTACTTCTGGAGTTGGGTAATAGGCTTGCAGGTGATTTTTATACTATTAAAACAAAACAAAAAAATAGATTAGTCAAAGTCTAGCGATGATAATGTCTGTGAACCAAAGATGGTAATTAAATTCTGCACAACTGAGGTATAGATTTTTTTTTTAATTCTGGCATTGTACTTGACAGCAATATGACCTTATGCAAGACATATACCTTTTCTGAAGTGAATTTTTATAAACATATTTAAAAAGTCAAACCTGCCTAACAAGATTGGAATATTACACTAAAAAGTATGTGGAAAAGACAAAGCACAGTGCCTAGCTCATAAATGGGCATAATTAAGTTTCTTCCTTCTTCCTTCTTTTTTTTTTTTTAAAGCGTACTGGGGTGGGGGTGGGTAAATCTAATGCAGGAGTGGGCCAGGATGGTCCCAGGGACAACCTAGGTCTCCATGACCCTGCTATTGACGCGGATGCGGCAGATGATGTCCTGGATGGTTTCAGACGTGGTGCTCTGGCCCCCAATGTCTGGGGTGTGCATGTTTTTATTGACCATGGACGCCAAGACGGCCTTGCGGATAGAGGAGGCGTAGGAGTGGAGCTTGAGGTGGTCTAGCATCAAGCAACTCGCCAGCAGAATTGCTGTGGGGTTGGCCATGTTCTTATTGGCGATGCTCTTGCCTGTGTGCCTTGTACCGGTCTCAAAAACTGCGTGCACATGGCCGTAGTTGGCCCCAGCCACTAGACCTGGGCCCCCAACCAGCCCTGCGCAGACGTTGTTGACAATGTTGCCATAGAGATTGGGCATCACCATGACATCAAACTGCTGGGGCTGGTACACAAGCTGCATGGTAGTGTTGTCCACGATCATGCTCTCGAAGGTGATCTGGGGGTAGCGAGCTGCCACCTCCCTGCAGCACTGGAGGAAGAGCCCGTCACCCAATTTCATGATGTTGGCCTTGTGCACGGCTGTCACTTTCTTGCGCCCACTCTCCTGGGCCAGCTGGAAGGCGTATTCGGCAACGCGCAGGGATTTGGCCTTGGTGACGATCTTCAGGCTCTCCACCACCCCTGCCACGCTCTCATGCTCCAGGCTGCTGTACTCACCCTCTGTGTTTTCCCGTACTACGATGATGTCTATGTCCTTGTGCCGGGTCACCACTCCCGGCAGGCTCTTACAGTGGATGACATTCGCATAGAGGTCCAGGCTGGTGCGAAGGATGTTGTTTCGCGATTTGTGGGATGGTGGCAGATTATGGTTTGTGTCAATGTTGCCCTTCAGAGCCACGCCATTCCGACGGATGGACATAATGGCATTGTGGATATCCTCTTCGTCAGTGCTGGAATTCACTGGCACCTCCTCAAAGTCCACAGGCACACAGGCGTGCCTGAACACGGTCTTGACGTGAAACATGAGCTCTGGTCCAGTCCCGTCCCCGGGGATCATAGTCACTGTGTGCCGCCCACCATACTTAGCGGACGGAGGTGAAACCATACTCCTCCGGGGGGCCTCAAGGGCACCTAGAGCCTCCCAAGGACGACAGAGAAGGGCCGACCTGAGCACCACCTTCAGTGCCATGACTCAAGGAACAGACTCCATCCTCGAGAGAGTTCGTTGAGGCGAGACGTCACTTCCTCCTTCTTCTTCTTTTTTTTTTTTTATTAATATTACTGGCTTCGCAGTAATGATTAAAATAATTATTATGATTAAAATAATTTCTGTTTAATTTCAAGTCTACTATTCATTGGCCACGTGACTGTGGGGAAGTTCTCTACCTAAAAATGGGCATCATAATATTTCTGGCTCAGGTTCTTTTGAGGGCTAAATAAGACAACATGCTTGAAGCATCTAGACTAGTACTGAGATGCAATAAATGTTAATTTCTATATTAGTTTCCTGTGGCTGCTGTAACAAATTACCACACACTGGTGACTTGCAATGATAAAAATATATTAACATTTTTCTTATGGTTCTAGAGGCCCAAAATCCAAAATCAAGATATCAGCGGAATTGTGTTCCTCCTTAAGGTGTCACTGGTGTCACTGTCTATTTAAAACCTCTTCTCATGGGTGTGGTGGTTCATGCCTGTAATCCTAGCACTCTGGGGAGGCCAAGGTAAGTGGATCCCTTGAGCTTAGGAGTTCCAGACCAGCCTATGAGACCTGTCTCTACTAAAAATGGAAAAACTAGCTGGGCGTTGTGGGGCACCTGTAGTCCAAGCTACTTGGGAGGCTGAGGCAGGAGGATCATTTCAGCCTAAGAGTTTGAGGTTGCTGTGAGCTATGACTCCACAGCACTGTACTGAGGACATGGAGTGAGACTGTCTCAAATACATAAATAAATAAATAGTTAAGTAAATTAATTAAATAAAACAAAAAGACCTCTTTTCATCATAAAAAGTTTTTTAAAAATCTTTTTTATTATTTATTTATTTATTTTGAGATAGAGTCTCACTTTGTTGCCCTTGGTAGAGGGCTGTGGTGTCACAGCTCACAGCAAGCTCAAACTCTTGGGCTTAAGTGATTCTCTTGCCTCAGCCTCTCGAGTAGCTGGGGCAACAGGAGCCCACCACAACGCCCAGCTGTTTTTAGAGATGAGGTCTCACTCTGGCTCAGGCTAGTCTTGAACTAGTAAACTCAGGCAATCCACCCACCTCGGCCTCCCAGAGTGCTAGGATTACAGGCGTGAGCCACTGCGCCCAGCCTAAGAAGTTGTTTTTAATCACTTGACTTCTTTGTTGATTCTTTGTTTTCTCTTTCTGTTGAGATTTTTCTTCAGCTCCCATTCCTCAGGTACCACTTAATAAAATATTTCTTAGCATACTCAGATTTTTGTGCTGTATACTTAGAAGGTGGGAGGGAGAAATGGGAAGGGAACTGTAGTGGGTCGAGCAGTCCCCTAAGATGACATATCCAGGTCTTAATCCCTATAACCTGCAAATGTAACCCTACTTGGAAAAAAGGGGCTTTGTAAATACAACAAAGCGAAGGATCTCAAAATAAGAGCATTCTGAATTTTTCACATGGGCCCTAAATCCAATAACAAGTGTCTTTATAAGAGACACCCAGAGGAGAGACAGGCAAAGAAAAGGAGAAGGTCATATGAAAACAGAGGCAAAGATTAGAGTTGCACTACCACAAGCCAAGGAATGCCTGGAGTCCCCAAAAGGCAAGGAAGGATTCACCCTAGAGACTTGAGGAGGAACACAATTCCACTGATATCTTGATTTTGGATTTTGGGCCTCTAGAACCATAAGAAAAATGTTAATATATTTTTATCATTGCAAGTCACCAGTGTGTGGTAATTTGTTACAGCAGCCACAGGAAACTAATATAGAAATTAACATTTATTGCATCTCAGTACTAGTCTAGATGCTTCAAGCATGTTGTCTTATTTAGCCCTCAAAAGAACCTGAGCCAGAAATATTATGATGCCCATTTTTAGGTAGAGAACTTCCCCACAGTCACGTGGCCAATGAATAGTAGACTTGAAATTAAACAGAAATTATTTTAATCATAAAGCTCAGATACTATCTACTGTACCATTCTGTGTTACCAGATAAATTCTGGCTTTTTATAGGTATTATGCAGGTGACAGTGATATAAAATACCTTTTTTTTCTTTGAGTTACTCCAAAAGGAAAATTATTTATGGCCGATAGGTTGTATAGGATAGGTAATTCAAACACTTAACCATCAATAAAGCAATGTTGCTAACACTTAAGTACTTTCAGTTTTTTACTGCTATTCAAACACTAAAGATTTCTCACCTTCATGTGAAATAGAAATCTCCATAAGCTCAATTTCATACAGTATGCATGGAACAAGTTTGCGCTATGACATGTCTATGTAGTTATTAATCATGGACAATGGATGAGTCAAAACAGACCCATAGAACTTCTAAGTTTTTCATAGTTTAGGGTAGCTCAGAACCTGGAAATAAAAGACTCTGTAAGGCAGTGGTTCTCAACCTTCCTAATGCCGCAATGTATTTTGACTGTCTCAACCCACAGGTTGAGAACCGCTGCAAGGGTTATCTCAATAAGCAAGGTGATCAGTGTTGAAAGATGAAACATCTCTATTACTTAAACCATTTAATCACCATTTGTATTGCATATCTCTCGTACATTACGGGAGATGATTTGTCATTGATTTCTCACATTTCTGCACATCTTGTGAGGAGTCACTGGTAGACATTCAAAGATGTCTGTATAGCAAACATCTTTTGGAGAAGGAGGTAGTATTTCTCTGGGGCAGAGGACAGATTTGTTTGATGACCAGTTGTCTTAGTCTGTGCTGCTGTAACAAAAAAATCCCCCACTTACTGGGTATATAAAGAACAGAAATTTATTTCTCACAGCTCTGGAGGCTGGAAGTTCAAGATTAACTCATAATGTGCCTGGTGAGGAATACATCTTCCAGAGGCAAGGTTCATATGGCAAAAGATAGAAGATCAAAAGGGACAAGCTCTCTCAGGAAGTCCTTTAATGAGGGCACCTAATCCCATTCACAAGGGAGGAGCCACCATGACCTAATCATGTCCTAACGGCTTCCCCTTTTAATACTATCACATTGACAATATCTAAATTTTGTGGGAGACACATTCAAACCTTAGCACCAGCAAAAATAAAGATTATGTCTCTAGTAGGGAAAAAGTTGAGCAGGCTTGTTTGGGACCCTCACATAAGAGATCGAGTATTATTAAACTTGGAATTCCTCAGCTATTCATCACACTGTGAGTGCCAGATGCACTTGGACCTACTGTGTTGTCCTAGTAGGACGTGGTAGAAAGAGAACTAATATGACGATGAAATTCATGCTGCCTGTTGTGCTGTAAGTAATAAAGTTGTTAGTTTCTGATTCATCAATCATAACTAATGTTGTTAGTTTCTCTGCCACCATCCATGAAACTGTGGCAGCCTAACTTACTAGCTTGTAAAGAGGGTAAAATCTGAACACTTCTCAGTTCTTGACAGCATATCGCTTGAAATTCCATTAGCCACACCTCTCATTTCAGCCACTGCTGTTGCAACTTGTTTCCTACAGACCTCAGTTAATTTTGCTCAGAAGCAATTTGATGACACTCTTGCTTCAACCTGTGAAATGTCCCTCTGGTTGTCTGCCTTGGGGAACTTTTGGCACCCCTGTGTGGAACATCCCTAGGAATCCACTCAGCCCTCTAGCATGCACAACCTGGAAAGGTGAGGGAGCTGACCAATGGGGGGGCAGAAATCCATGGGTATTTGCTTCCCCTTTTAAATTATGGTGGAATATCAACACATTTCAAAAGCCTGCTCGGAAAGAAGATTCTGTGCAGTTATACGTCAGTCATCTACAGGGGAAGCCAACCTCATAATGTAGCCTTAACTCGGCTTTCTTTTCTGCCTGCCTTAAAAACCTTCTCCCCTGGAATCGCATTGTTTAAAAAATGTCACTGGCCTTCAGGGGAACCCAGAAAGAGATATCAACTCATATGTCTTAGCTTGGCAATTGCTATTTTGCCATAAGTTAACATCCTGAATGTTAAAGAGTTATTACTGCATCAGTGTAGGTACTAGGCTGTCTAGTACAAAGAGCCTGGGATGCTGGGTTCTAACACAACGTCAACGCTTAGCAGGTGCCCTAAGAAGAGTGTTTTAGTCTCTCTACTAATTTCTTTCATAGGGCTTCCTAACCCCATATTTTAAAAAAGCAAATGTAAAATGATAACCACAAAATGGCATGAAAGAAGGAAGTGGGAATATCCTATGAACATATTCATTTTATAACTACCGACTCAAGGTAAGAAGAGAAGAAAAAAGAAAATGCTTGGAATGCTTGTTGTTAGACCAATTTTATGATAAAGTGCTCACTTTGTTCAAGCAAAACATAAAGTTGAAGGGAACTTGTCCTTCATTTTTAATATTCATGGTGACTATTCATGAGTAAACTGCAGTGGAAATGTGGTGGAAAGAACGCACTGGCCAGGGGTCTTGCTATAAGGAACCGTCTTGTAAAGTTAACTTGCTTTGACACGTTCCAGATGTGCTTCATATGACCAGAAATACTGAGATACTGGAGACTGGCATGGATCACAGAGTTGTGACTTCTTACTGTATGGAAGATGAGTGTTTACATAGTCTACTGTCTTTTTATAGGATCTAAAAATAGAATACATTTTGTTTTTTAATTTTATTTGTTATAGGGAGGCCTGCTGTCTATTTGCAATAATATGCTTTTTATGTTACATGGTAGAAAGCACCAATAATTCTCATTCCCAGTCTCTGTTTTCTCTTACTTTTTATTTTTTGTTTGCCACACTCAACCACTTTCTTAGTTAAGTGATGGCTGAGAGATAGTGGCTATACATTCTTAAAGTGTATAGCTCTCCACTATCTTCAGGATGACTGAAAGGCAAAGGTCATTAGCTTCCTATAACATATTCTTTGACATCACAATTACCCTTTTTAGTATTATTATTATTATTATTTGAGACAGAGCCTCAAGCTGTCCCCCTGGGTAGACTGCTATGGCTTCACTGCTCACAGCAACCTCCAACTCCTGGGCTCAAGCGAGTCTCCTGCCTCCACCTCCCAAGTAG